AAAGAGAGAGAGAAAGAGAGAGAGAGAGAGAGAGTAACAATTATGACTCCTCAAATCTTTAGCCCAAAGAAGATGTTGTTCTTGTCTTGGTCTTAGGAAACAGGAAGTGAGGTGGACTGCTTCAAGGATGGATAAAAAAAGAGTTTTCACCACTTTCAAAATGTTATTTTCAGAACTTTCTGTGTCATCAATGAAATGTTGAGCCTTCATTTTGAATGAAAACCAATTTAGAATTTAGTGAGCCCACTTTTCATTCAGTGAATCAGATGGTGAGAACATCTCCAGTACAAACGTGCCCACTTTTCATTCAGTGAATCAGATGCATCTCCAGTACAAACGTTTTTTTCAGTTTTTTAAAAGACACCTTGCAATTTATGTAAAAAAAAAGATTTAAATACCTGCCATTGTGACAGTTTATAGTTACATCCACTATGACTAAAACGTCAACAAAAGAAAACCAGCCCCACTGACTGATCGCATGCTTCACCATGAGGACATTTCACACTTATGGTGATTGGGTCGAGGACTGTTCTATTTAGACCATAATCACATTCTATTATGTGTAGGTGAACAATATATAGCATTGGTTCATTCACAGTTTTCTAACCCACGTCCAACATTCAGGACAAATACAGATCGTACGTGACATTTGACACTTGTACAAAGTGGTCTGATGTCACAGCCTTCTTTGCTGTCTACAATTTTATCAACATCACTGTGACAGTCTTCTGCCTATTTAAATAAAAAGAAATAAAATAATATATATATATATATGTATAAACAATAGTTGAGTGGCTTTAATTGTCAAAGTGTTCGTTTTTTGTTTTATTTACATATTTTGATTTCAAAATTTAGTTTAGCCAAAAAAATAAAAAATAAAACGAAAAAGTACTTGCTAATTTAAGAAGTGGGCAAAAGTCAGAAGAAATCAGTCTGAATCACAGCTCTGTGATCAACAAGGCAGAACAATACAAAAACCTGTCTGATCAGCAGCGAACAACATGTCAGATGTTCATAGTTCATCCAAAAAAAAATAAAAAAAATAAACATTGTACTAAACATCTGAACAGAAAGAATGACATGAAAAGGATTTCAAACACCTATTGTTCTTTTAAAAAGTTGACTAACTAGTTACAGTATGTGGAAAACTACAAAATATAGGTTTGTGAGATAAACATTAATAATGAAACAATAATCATGTAACTGGTTTTATGTCTTTATTGCAACATAATAAACCATATTTTATTGACTACCAGTAGCAGCTGTACAAAACTATACAATACATTTCTTTTTATTTTTCTACTATGGTATGAAATCAATGTTCAGCAGAATTATATTTTACATATTGTTGGTCTGGGTCACTTACACATAGCATAAAAAGAAAACGGAGGACCACAGATGGACATTAGCCATCGGCTAAAGCTGCCATTATTACTATTGTTGCAGTTGTCAATTAAGTCTGATAAACTAATAAATCTAAACCTTTAAAGTGTATTAATAATATTTATAATAATTAATAAAAGCATCATAATAATTTATAATGCAGGAAATGGGTCATATAAATTATGTAAAAACCTCTGTAGCCCTTTTAGAAATACCTCAGTGAAGGTATAAATATGGTTTTAAATATGTGTGTATTTCCACTCGCTCCACGCCCGTTTCCTGCGCCTACAGCAGCAGCATATATGAGAATCTATATCTCTCTATCTGTCCGCTCGTCCTCTCGACGTGTCTTTAAAAAACCTCCTGGCAGATGGTACTTTGTGTTCATTGCAATATGTTGTTATGACAACAGTCTGTGTGATGTTTTCCTCTCCTTGATGCTTGACATGTGTTGCCTCAAATTCCCCACCCTGCGATGAATCCGCTAAACAACCTGAGACCGAGCATTCGTAGCCGGATACGTCCAAACAACATAAGGTATTGTCTGTGTGTGTGTGTGCCCCACAAAATTTTTTTTTTTTTAATTTAATTATTTTTATTTATTTATTTCCTTCAAATAGGCAAAGGGTGCACTTTAGCAAAACGAGGAACTGATCATTTTTGAGCATTGTTTTGCATAACGAACATCTGTCAAAAGACGTTTCCTCCATCATCGACTGCTTTACACCGCCCCCTAGAGGATATAAAATAAAACTACAAAAAACAAAAACAATTTTAAAATGACTACGTTTTTCGTTCCCCGTGAGATACGGTTATAAAAAAAATAAAATAGAGCTACAGTGCATAATTATGGATTAAAAACTATTTTTTAAATTTTTAATGCAAAATATTGTTCAGTTTCTTCTACCTCGGTGCTGTCAATAGGCTTATTTTATGCCAAATATTGGCAAAAATATTAAATTCTGACCCGAATATAAAAATATATATTTTTATAGAGAACTAATAGATAAAATGGGAGGAGGTAATTAAAGTTGTATGTGGAAAATATTTTGATTTCCAAACCATGTCTCAGAACAAAATGTTTTGTAACAGGACTTTTCCTATTACAGTAAACGGTATGTTACTTAAGAGTTCACTGCAACTGAACTTGTTGTCTTTCACGGTTTCTACAAATAGGGAAGTAAATGAGGGCCACCTTTTCACATTTTACTGCAAATTCCATAGTTGATTCTGAGCAGAATTGACCAAATAAACCAAATAATTTAATGGCAGATGTGTTTGAGGCCACAACCGAATAGGAAGATGACGTGTCAGCGTTTTTCAAGTATCAGCTAATCCTGACTGTTCATTTGGCTGTGACCTGTTATACTGCCATCGATCAAACAGATGTTTGATCACATGCAACAGTAGATATAAAAAAATAACAGAATCTTTACAAACAGACACATTTCTATACAACTCTCGTGGCATAGTTAAAATACTTCAACAATATTTCAACCATCTTATTACCTGTAATCTTTCCTGCGTTCCTTTGCAAACATCGAAAGCAGCAAAAACGTTTTGTATTTCCCCATTAAATACAAAATTGGTTCACAGTCCATTCCTTAATGCAATCAAACCTTGTCCTCCAAGTCTGTTGAGATGTGTGCAGGTCACAGCTCCTCGTCCGTCTCCTCTCTCCTATCTGCTAGCCCCCCACCTTTTGCGTATGACACACAACCATTGAGTTGGATCCTGTTGGCGTCAAGAATGTCCTTAGAGGAGCCTTCGGGTGACGTCCTGACCACGCTGGAGAAGGACATGCTGGCCTGCAGCCTCAGCAGCTTCTTCAGCTTCTTCTTGTAGCCCTTGCAGGCAAAGAAGTAGATGAATGGATCCAGGCAGGTGTTGAGGTTCATCAGACAGACTGTGATGTGCAGCGACACCTGGAAGGCGGTCAGATCTGCACAGTCAGGACTGGACACCAGCTTCTGTACCATGTACTGCAGGATGTCGATATGGTAGGGACTGAAGCAGATCACAAAGACCAGAGAGACGCAGCTGATCACACCTATGACCTTCTGGCTGCGGCCTGACTTCTCCGTCAGGTGGTTTGTCTTGGCCATGGAGTAGAGTTTAAAACACAGGATGGAGTAACACACCAGGATGGTGATCACTGGGATGCCGTAACCCACAAAGACTGCACCGATCAGTATGGTGGCGATGTGGTCCACCTTCTCAAAGTTGGGGTACTCCATACAGGTGATGTAGCCATCATCCTCCACGTTGGTCAAAGGCATTCCAAGAAGAGGGAGGGTCTGCATCAGGACCAAGAGCCAGACTCCGACACAGATGTAGCGCACATTACTGACCCTCCTGAAGCGGCCGAACCTCAGGGGCAGAACCACAGCGATGAAGCGGTCAATGCTGAGGCAGGTCATGAAGTTGACTCCGGCGTATGTGTTGATGTAGAAGAAAAAGCCTGAAATTTTGCACAGAGCCTCAGACAGAGGCCAGTGGAAGCCCAGAGCGTAGTAGAAGATCCTCAGAGGCAGAGACAGAGCAAAGAGGATGTCGGAGATGACCAGGTTGAGGGAATACAAGGTGGTGGAGTTCATTTTCTTCAAATTAGGACGGATGACGTGGAGGGCCAGGCAGTTTCCAAACAGACCCACTATGAAGACGGTGCTGTAAAAAATCGGCATGAGGACGCGGGTGTAGTTTCGGTGGCTGTACAGAGTGGTGCAGGTGGAGTTGCTGTTGTTGTGTGTGAGCGGGTGAGTGAAGGTCTCAAGTTTAGTGGTGTCACCCATCTTTGAATTTGAGGAAGCAGCGACTGCAAAGAGGAAAAGACAATGTGTGACTTGTGTGTTGGTGAAACACAATGAACGCGTGGTTGTTGTTCCCTCCTCTAGTCAACAGTAATGAAAATCATATCTGTACAAACAAAATATCTTCAAACCTCAGGGTGAAATAGAGTTCAAGAGCATTCACACATCGGAAACTGTGCTTTCACTAAGGAAGTTAAATTGTTTTGTGTCTGTAAAAAACGTGTGGCTGATGTTGAGGCTGTCGCTGTGTTTCTGTGCACATTAGCAAAAAATCCCTCATAAGTAGTAATTATTAGTAGTTAGTACTTCATCTTGTCTTTAGTAACAATTTATTAATGGAGGATGCAGTAATCATTAATATTAGTAGAGTAGCGTAGTAAGTGACACTTCACTGCGATACATGAGATGTATTATGGTGTGTACTGCCATCTAGTGACGTTTTATGGGTAAAGCAGGTTGCAAATAAATTCTAACCTGAGTGAATAAATAACCTTAACCACTAGACCACTTAACCACTTAGAATTTGCTTCTTTTTTTGTTTTTGACTGACTGACTGACTGACTGCAGAGTCATCATTTCCTTTTCACTTGAAATTTCTAAACTTATAATATAACAGTCAGGGATATTTTAAATATAGTTTGTTGTTCCATTAATAATACCCCATTTAAGAGGAAAAGCTGGTAAACACTTCACACTCTGTCGTGACTGTGACACACAGGACACTGGTGTTGTTTTCTAAATGCAGTCTGCAGCTAAAAGTGAGTTGAAGGAAGTGTGTGAACAATGACACAGCTTGACTGTGATTATCCACGCAGCTGTAGCATGCACACTTACACACGCGCCAAATTAAAAAAAAAGGTGGCTGGTGTTGAAAGATGGCCCTGCAGAAAGAGGAAGTGTGTTTCCCCAGGCCTCAGAATGACTGGCAGTGGAAAGTCA